TCAACTAAAAAAACAAAAGTAATTCTAACTCAAAAGAATTTAAACTGATTACATTCTATTTTATTTATATAGCGCCAAATCACAACAACAGTTATCTACCAGTGCTTTTCATAAAAGAGCAGGTCTAGATCGTACTCTATGATGTTATTTACAGAAGCCCAACAGTTCCCATCAATCACTTACTCAATTTGTAAGTTAAACAAACATTCTTGATTAAGTAGTTTTTACTATTTTGTTGTCACAGTACAAATAAAAAGTATAGCTAACTTAAATATTTCTATCTAGCATAAAATCTTTAAATATTCTCAGTAAGGAATTGTTCACTTTGTTTACTTTGACTTTAAGTTTAATGAAGCTGTACAGTATGGAGGACCGAGTCTGCCACAATCAAAAATGAATACAAAAATAAATGTAGGGGATAATTAAATTATATAATTAAACATATCTCTCAATTTGCATCTGTATACCTTATTTATTTACACCTAAATTTGGAGTGCACACGAATTCGAGCCTTTATGGTAAATGCAGGGAAACATGGCAGAGCAAGCTTTATTCATTCATTCGTCATTTTCTCACTTTACAAAGACAAGTTTTGCAGTATGAGAGTCCTACCTGAAGATAGGCTTGAAAGTCTACACTGTACGCGATATGAGCACCACATACAATATAATTTATTAAATTGCGTCGGACTTAGTTAACTTAGTGTGAGGATACCCACGTGACAACATGTGGTTTTCAAAATAAGGTGTTAATACAACGTATATACAGTGTGATATAAAGATTAATTGGATGAAGTATAAAACATGTTACACATGCCTATTAAAAGTTAAAAGAAAATAAAAACGTTGGGGAAATCGCCACTCATGACACGACACAAAAACTATCTACATGAAATAAATCTATATATGGTGCACCAACACAAAAGTAAAACTTTTTCATGCAAAGAAGTAATTAGGATTACATCCAGGTCCCCTTTAAGCACACCAGGTTTTTATTAGAGATGCGCCAAATGTTCAGCCACTGAAATTAATCAGCCAAAAATAGAAAAAATAACATAAAATCAAGTCAAGTCAAAACACCAAAGAAATTTTACCAAACAACTAATTACATTGACATTTCGGCACTGTGGAAGCATTTTAAAGTGTCAGAGAATTATCCAAAAATCAATGTTTGCAGACACTGTTCTGCTGAATTGTCTCCCAGCACATCCACTCCATCTGTGGCTGACTTCTTTGAAAAGGCACCAAACAGTCTGACCCGCTTTGAGTGTTTCTGTCAATCGTTCATGAAAAGGTGATTAAGCTAACCACACCTAAATTTGGAGTGCACACATATTCCAGCCTTTATGGTAAATCCACTGAAACGGCCCAGAGCAAGCAGACAGGCAGGTCAGCGACTTTCTGTCAGTTTCTCTCCTTACAAAGACGAGTGTTGCAGTTTGAGAGTCCTACATGAAGAGAGGCTGTGAAGTCTTCATGTTACGCCGTATGAGCACCACATACAACGTTATTTATCAAACTGGGTCGGACTTGATGAATTTAGCACGAGGATACACATGTGACAACGTACGGTTTTCAAAATAAGGTGTCTATACAGGATGGAAATAAGATTAATTGGATTATATTCACAGAAAGTATAAAACATATTACATGTGTCCATTAAAAGTAAACGGACCCTCTCGGGCCTCAGACCCCCCAACCGTAGTCTCTCCAAATCCTGATGGAAACACTGAGTAAAAAGCACATTTTGATTATTTAATTTACGCAATGGTAAAAAAAAATTAATTGGCAAAATAAATGTGAAAAACCTTGTTCGGTATTCGGCAAGTTTTTCCATTATATTCGGTTTCGGCCAAGAATTTTAATTTCTGTGCATCCCTAGTTTTTATTAAAATTTTCTTTCTCCATCACTGCATAGTTGGATTGGGGTTGAAAACGTACTGTAGAGGTAAATGATACTAAGATGTGGTTACTTCAGATGTATCTCTAGACACACACACACACACACACACACACGAAGAAGAAACATCTCTCGCAATCTGTAATACATGTAAGGTCAAAATAAGCCATGTGTCCACTCAGGTATATTAATGGTCACCACTGTAGAGAAACAGAGTAAACAGAGAGAGAAGTTGTTACACTAAAATAAGGTGGGGAATTAAGTAGAATCAAAAGGGTGAGATAAGAAATAACTTAATAGAAATAGTTCAATGTTTTCTTCCAAATAAAATATACAGTATACTGTATCCCATAGAATTCTTTAAAGCATTTATTACCAAAATAATAGAACCTATTACCTGCACAATTAATCGAAATATCATCAAAATCACAATATGGCCAAGTGCAATATCCAAATCACTGTATGTCTATGCTCCATGTGGCATGCATCCAGAAGTCATATCAGTGGTCCGCCACGTGGGCGAGTCTTTTTCTCCCCTTTCTGGTACCTTAGAAATCGGGGGGGAATGGGACCCATGCTGAACTGCGCGTTCTTAACGGCATTATTGTGTGGGAGTCTTTCTGCATTCTGACGGTCAAACAACTGATGGAGTGCATCCATTCCCCGTGCTGGATGCACTCCAGTTGTTTGACCGTTAGACCTGACCAATGCATACATCTACGTCCCCATTCTGCCGTGCCTCAGAAAGTACCTGCGCTTTGCAATGGGGGCACAAAGCTAAGAATACTGTGCTGCTCAGAGAGAAAGGCCGGAGAATCCTGTCATACAGTGATGATTGAATAATTGTCATTCCATACAGGCAGGAGGTTGAAGCCCACACAGCTCTGGTCATCCAGCATTCTACAGTGCTTTTCAGGGACTGCCCACAGGAGGACATCTGTCTGGCCATCTGCTGACCCCCACTTCAACTTTTGTGCAGTCATATATCTCAGAGACATGTCTGCTGTTTCTTTGGCCCATTCAATGCTTGGTGCACGGTCTGTGGGGACCTGGTCTGGTGCAGATGTCCCTATAGCAGCCAGCTCTGGTGGCTTTGTTGAAGCCGAGACCCTCAGGCAGGAGGCGCTTGGCTGTGGGACTGGAGTCGCTATTTTATGTCTGGCAGGGTTTGGGCCAGGTTAGGTGTGGCCAAGCTGGGAGTGTCTCCCATCCCTTCGGCCTTCGCCTCAGGTTTTAACCAATAGCGAAGCCCATTAGAGGGACGCCCATTAGAGCACGTACAAAGTAGAAGTAGTAGTTACATGGATATAACTCTGGTTTCAAAGGGAAACTAGCAAAGCATGCACTCTGGCTTTATAGGAGGAGGTTGATGCCCCCTGATGTGCAGTGAGCACAAATATCTCTTTTCTCTCTCAGGTGCTGAGGTGGAGCCTTGAGAGCAGTTACATAATTGCAGCTGTCTCTCAGGCCCAGTGTGTGCCTCTTAAAATTCCAAACAACTGTGGCCAGGCTGACTGCATGAGGCCTGTGGCACCCCGACCCAATCACTTCTTTTTCCAACCCCTTCAAAAGCACACCGGCAACCTAACAGGCAACAAATACTTAGAAAAAAGAAGAGCGAGGAGGCAGACAGAAGAAAACAACAACATACATGCTGTACAATGGTGACACGCAGTCATTGGCAGATTTTGTTTACAAAAAGATGTGGCTTTTCCTGCTTCAGTCAACTTCAAGAGCAGCCTCCCCGTGCTTCTGTTTTTTTGTCCATAACACCAACTACAGAGTTGGAGAACAACAGCAAGAAGAAAGGTGGTGATCACTGTCATGGACAGCACACACACAAAGTTGCATTAATGGTGTAATTTGTCCCACCCTAACAGGTCCAACAAAAAACTAATAGGAGAATTAGATATCAAATCGATCACCGTTTGTACTGTAATCCAGATAAAAGATGAAAACATCTGAATGAGTGTACCACTGACTCCCTCTACTATCCCTAAATGGAAGTCCTGTGACAGATAATGGAGGAAACACCACAGAAATGTAAGTTCGATCTGCCTTCATATATTATTTTGGTTATACACATAAATCTTCCCTTAATTTTCCTCATACTAACTTTTCATGTCGTGTTTAGATAAAATCACAGTACAAACAAAACAAAAAAAAAATATTTCGTTTTTTGACTTGTGCTCCAACATGCAGCCATTTTCTAGAAAAAAATCCTACCATCTATTTTATAAAACATGGCCATTATGTTATGAAATATCATGTGTTTTGGCGGGGGGATGTTGTGCATTTACAGCCCAGCCAGTAATGCACCCATCAGTATCCATAGTGATCTCTGGTTCCTGCTTCTAGTGGGAAAGTTTATACCACAGTGTGCCTGTTTATTTATAGCCTACGTTTTTAAATGCAGTTAAAATGTTTAGCAAGCAAAAAGGCCAAACATTCTCTGGTTCCAGCTTTTTAGTGTGAGAATTTGCTTCTTTTCAGTTTTATATCACTGTAAACTGAAATTCTTTGGGGTTTGGACTGCAAAACAAGCAATTTTACAAGACATTTCCTTGGCATCTGGAATATTGGGATGGACATTCTTCTCTACTTTATGATATTTTCTAAATGATTAACTGGTTGATCAAAAAATAATAATGTAGCCTACAGTTTTTTCATAATGAAAATAGCTATTGTTTGCAGCAGTAGGCTATCAGGCCTAGCCAGGTCAAATTTGTAGATAGTCCATTACCGTAATAATACAGCAGTTCATAGAGCATTTGTAAATAATTCCTTGGACAACCATTCAGATGCCTCCGAGCCGGGCCCATACACACATGTACTGACAGGTCAGATTCACGTCAGGTGTCGCAGACAGACACACATCTGAGCACCTGAACAACAAACGTAAACACAGCAGCCATGTCCATGAATCACGGTCAATCTGTCGCATACAGTGTCCTGTCACGACAGCAGCTACGTATGACACGGCGTTTATAGCCCATCTGAATCCCCCAGCCGGGCCTGCTGCTGCTGCTGTGTTCCAGCGCTGCACACAGCCTCATCCCCCGCAAACAGTCCCAGCATGCTAACGCCTCTGTGCTTCCTACCTTTCCGCCAGGCAGAGTCCCTCGCTGCTGCTGTATCAATATAGACGACAATATGAGCTCACATTAAAACGTGTCCAGCCGCGGTGGTTAATTAAACCAAAGCGGTGTTTTCCCAGCAGTGTCCTGCGGGGTTACTCCTCCTTTGAGCCGAACATGAAGCCAAGGTCGTAACGTTTGATCTGCAGGGTCCACAAAGCGTGCGGGATACATTAGACGAAATCATACAATCATGACAGTGACGTGCCAAATTATCTCTAGTCGAAAAAAGAAGGGAAAGTAAAAAAAAAAATACCGACAGCAGGAAGTGACAGGTAGGCGAATTTATCTTGACAGCCAGGTGTATTGCCTAATCATCCACCCGGCTCCACACAGAGCTCCCGCCTCTAACAACAGCAGGCCATTCAGAGAGCGGCTCCGAGCCAGCGTCCGTCCGACGCAGGTGCATCTGATGCGTTCACGAGCTGCTCGTAAATAGATTCATAGGTGTCATTTACACTGGGGACGCTGGGGGCATGTCCCCACCACAGTTTTAAAAGGTTGATTTTGTCCTTACCACTTTTTGAAAGCATTTGTTCAAAATGTTCTGAAAAACAGCTAGCACCAAGAAATGAAAATGCTTTGAGAAAGGTTTATTTGTACATTAAATATAGCAGAAATACATTGTCCAAAGAAAGTAACTTGAGTATAAAAAACAAGCATCTGATTACTGCATTATACAGTATTCTGATATATTTTTATATTTATGAATTATCCCCTGCTAGCTGAATTTTGTGTTTCCCTTTATATAAATAAAGACATTTCCACTGTAAATTGGAGTAGAAAATGTCTCCAGAATGCATCAAAGTAAGCGTTTAATGGTATGTTTCTTAAAAATGCAGTTAAAATCTTCTTGTCTTGTACTCGTGCATCGTCATGTCTCGTGACCCCAAGTGTATCATCACACCCCTAATCTGAGCCCTTATGTCCCCACCACTTTTCAACACAAAGTGACGCCCTTGGATAGATTCAACTTCATTGTCATTATGCAGAGTACAGGAAGAGAGCTAATGAAATCTACCAGAAGTCCAATATTAAAAGCATACAGAGGAGAAGGGGACAGAGTTAGAGAATGGAGAGTGCAAATGCGAGGTTGGATGTACAGGCACAGCATATATGCATTAACAAAGTAGCCTATGCAGAGGATAATTTATACACAGTAGGTCATATATTTGGTTATATCTACAGTATATCTACAGTTATTAAACATTGTAGTGTGTGCAAAACTATGAATAGTGCAAATAACATGTACATTAAAGTACCGTGAGTACTGCAGTATAGGTCAAAAGGTACTATTAGATTGAAGGTGTGGAGTTGAGCAAGCTCAAAGCCTCGGGGAAGAAGCTCTTCCAGAGCCTGCTGGTGTGAGAGAGTAGGCTCCTATAATGCCTGCCGGATGAGGGGGGGGAGTCCAGGGTTAGGGTGGGAGGCATACTTGATGATGTTTCTTGTCCTGCTTAGGCAGCGCTTGTGATAAGTGTTCTCCATGGTGGGAGACTGGGTGCCGGTAAACCCTTGGGCAGTTTACACCACCGGCTGGAGTGCTTTACTGTCTGATGCAGAGCGGTTGCCATACCACACTGAGATGCAGTTTGTGAGTAAGCTCTCACTAGTCCACCAGGATCCTGCCTGTGTAGGAAGTAAAGGTACTGCTGTGCTTTTTTGACTTGAGTGGACAAGTTTAGGGACCAGGTGAGATCATCAAAGATGTGGATGCCAAGGAACTTGAAGCTTGACACACGCTCCACTAATGCAGATGGGGGATGCAAAAGTCCTGCATGCAAAATGTCTCCAAGAGTACAGAAATATTTACAGCTAACATATTACAAGTATCAAAAGCAAACTCATTATGCAGCAGAATGTCATTTTTATGTTATACATATATATATTGTTTTGTATAAAATCTTAATATTCAAAGTACCTTATAACTATGATAAACAAATAAATATTGCTCTTAGATGTATATTTAAGAGCGATATTTATACTTGGAAGCTGCTAATAACTAACTAGTCGCCTTTTCATGTTGCTTCCACCGCTTTGCCTTCCTAAAAAGGACCACAGTGGAAATAACACATCTGGCTTTATTGTGTTTTTATCCTTCTGATGGTTTTTATAGTTGGGGCATCTCTTGCTGGAGGCGCCACTTTTATATTTACAATCAATAAACAAGTTCATTCATTCATTCATTCATTCATTCAAATGTAGTGAACTACAGTAAGAAGTACTCAACTAAAGTATATCTCAATCAGAATCAGAATCAGAAGGAGCTTTATTGCCAAGTAGTGTTTAACACATACGAGGAGTTGATAAGTGATAAGGTGCTACACGTAGACAAACATACAGCTGACATAAATAGATGTAGAAATATATAAATATGGAATAAACAAATGCAAGTTATATAAGAATAATAGAAGAATAGAGAAAAATAATACAACTATTTGCAGAGAAAGAACAATGTGGCAGATATTTACACGTGCATTACTCTGGTTTGTGTTGTGCAGATGTATTGCAATGGATGGAGGATGTTGTGTACATAAATATAGAAATTGACAATATAAAAGAATAAAAATAAAAATAACAATAAAACAACAACGATTAACAATTAACAACATATATGTGCAATGTGCCAGGTTCGTGCATGATATGAAATGAAGTGATATTTACATGTGCAGAGACGATTGTATTATTTGAAATGGGGGAGTGTCAGTGGGGGCCCCGGGCCTTGTTAATGAGGCTAGTTGCAGACGGGAAGAAACTGTTCTTGTGGTGACAGGTTTTCGTCCTGATGGACCGCAACCTCCTGCCAGAGGGGAGAGTCTGAAACAGTTTGTGTCCGGGGAGTCAGCTGCAATCTTTCCTGCTCACCTCAGAGTCCTGGAGGCGTACAGGTCCAAGGAAGATTGCAGCCAATCACCTTCTCTGCAGAGCGAATGATACGCTGCAGCCTGCCCTTGTCCCTGGCAGTGGCAACAGCGTACCAGATGGTGATGGAGGAGGTGAGGATGGACTCAATGATGGCGGTGTAGAAGTGCACCATCATTGTCTTTGGTGGGCTGAACTTCTTCAGCTGCCGCAGGAAGTACATCCTCTGCTGGGCCTTCTTGGTGAGGGAGGTGATGTTCAGCTCCCACTTGAGGTCCTGGGAGATGATGGTGCCCAGGAAGCGGAAGGAGTCCACAGTGGTGACTGGGGAGTCACACAGGATGATGGGGGAGGGTGGGGCTGTGCTCTTTCTAAAGTCCACAACCATCTCCACTGTCTTCAGAGCGTTGAGCTCCAGACTGTTCTGGCTGCACCAGGTCACCAGATGGTCGATCAAGTACAGTACACTGAAAAAAGGGTGGATTATTCAAATTACAAATGCACTTACACAATTAATTGATATTTCTTTAATGAATATATATTACTCTTGGAGAATATGTTTAACGTTGAGGAATGTAAAGTCATCACATTGGGATGAAGGAAAGAGGTTGTGGTCTTGGGAACAGGCTGAACAACAGCCATTTTCTCTCTTTTGTCAGAGGATTTGTCATGGACCTCCAAACCTTTCAACACAGTGAAGGTAATTAAAAGTTATCAAATCAGTCAAATTTAGAAATGGTATCTTAAGATAAATAATTTTTACCAAAGTGTTATCCAATTAATCTGCCGTTAAAAACTCAACCTAGGTAAAAGATAAGTAGAGTCAGTCTATTTAGAAAATTTAGAATTCCACTTTAGGTAATAGCAATAGAGAGTGGCAATTAAAATTCTACAAAATTTTCAAATGTTAAAGGTGTGGACTAAGTGATTCTAATCCAAAACACGTCTTTAGTCAATTTCAGCGAATATCTCCTGGATTTGCTGTCCATTCTGTGTGTGCGCTGAAAAAAATCCAGTGTTTGTACCCCAGCCCTGGCTCGCACCCCGCCACACAACACAATTCCAGCCGTTCCATCCATGATGTGTGTGTCAGTAATGTTAAATGACTCACTCACAGACGTGTTCAGCTTAGTTTCTAGTTTACCAAGACATGCTGTCGTTGTGATGTTAGCTATAGCAGCAGGAGAGCTGGGTGTAACGCTGTGCTGGCTCTGGGACCATCTCGTCCGTCCTCATGGTAGTGATGTATATTATTCATATTTGATCATTTTATTTAATTTTTATTTGCATTTTAAGGGGGTTGAATAATCCCTTGAATGGACCAGCATAGATTTACATTGGTGGGAAATACCAATAATAAATCACACAGTCTGGCTTGACTATGCAACAGCGCAACCAGAGCACTGTGTCGCAGGCAAGGAAATGCTCAGGTGTGAGAGAGCATCTGGCATGACATTCCTAGACCCAGGACAATAGGTTGGCATGAACTTTAGGAGACCAAAAAACAAGGCCCAGAGGTCTTGATGGGAGTCAGTCCAATCTATGAAGCGAATATCTCCACTCCGCCAGGGCCAGCAAAGAGCTCCCTATTGCCAACATCATAGTTAAGCAGGTATTAAGATGACAAGAGTGTCGACAAGGTAAACAAAAATTTTAAGGTTGAGAAAGTCTCTGAGTACATTAATAATCAGAGCCTGAAACACAGCGGGGACATTGGTCAAAAGGCATAACTAAGTACTCAAAATGGCCCACTAGCATGTTGAAGGCCATCTATCACTCATTCAGGTCTAATTTGGAAAAATGGTGATGCCATGAAGAGGTTTGAAGGCAGAGTTAATTAATATAAGGGGATACTTGTTTTTGATGGTGAATTTGTTTAAGCCTTGGTAGTGAATAGAGTCACATGGAGCGGCTTTCTTTTCCACAAAACAGAAAACCAGCTGAGAGGAAGAAGCTTGGATCATTTAACCAGGTGTGCCAAAGAATCAGGGGAAGTAATTAGGTGGGATTGAATCTCCTCTCTATTGTTACTAAAAACAACCAGGGACACATCAGCATCGGAGTCAACATGAGTGAGGAGAGGAAGATTAAGCTGGTTGAAACAGAGCTTGAAGCTGCATTCATACTGAGATGTTTGACTCACCAATACCCCACTCTTATTGATGAGTCTTGTATTTTGGCCGAGCATGACAGGAGACTAGGAGATGACCACAGTACAGGCACTAAGCCGGGGAGATGAGGGCTCAACCTGAGTTCCTCACCAGAAGGTCCAAGTTACAGTGTGTCAGCCTCTCAAGAGCAAGAAAGTGAAGCCGGTTTGCGCTAAGTTAGCTAACATCTCCCCTTCAGACTGTGCTGCTGAGCAAGGAAGCTTCTACAGGAGGTTAAGTAACGTCTTCAGCTGTTATGT